TCCACCCCCCCCATGGTCTTGATGGACGTTCTAGACCAACATAGGGTGGATCTCGAGAAGGTTCTCCAAGCCCACCACAATTTTTTGGGCTTTCTGAGCCTGATGGACCTTCTAGACCACGTCGGATGGAGTCTAGGAGGTCTTCTCACCCCACCCCACCTCTCGCTGGACTTTTCCAGGTACCTCTACGAGCGAATCGACGGGCGGGTGAGGGGCAACCTGCGGCAGGCGGCCATCGACCGCTTCTCCAAACCGGACTCGGACCGTTTCGTCTTCCTCCTTTGCACCCGCGCCGGCGGGTTGGGCATCAACCTGACGGCGGCCGACACCTGCATCATCTTCGACTCCGACTGGAACCCCCAGAACGACCTCCAGGTCAGGAGACGCCCCGGGTCTTCTTCTGGTGGGAGGGGCTTGGCCTTCATCTTCATTTGGATCTGTCTTCTTGAGGCTCCATCATTTTCTTCTTGAACCACCTTCATCGTTTTTTGACCCAACTTCTTCATCGGGACCCACCTTCGTCTTTGTCTTGACCCATCGTCTTCATCGTCTTTGTCTTGACCCATCTTCATCTTGACCCATCATCATCTTCCTCACCTTGACCCATCGTCTTCTTCCCCTTGACCCATCGTCTTCCTCACCTTGACCCATCATCTTCATCTTGACTCCTCGTCTTCCTCATCTTGACCCGTCGTCTCCTTCACCTTGACCCATCGTCTTCTTCGTCTTGACCCATCGTCTTTCTCATCTTGACCCACCATCATCTTCACCTTGACCCATCGTCTTCTCCATCTCTTGACCCATCATCTTCTTCACCTTCCTCACCCATCATCGCCTCCATCTTGGCCAAACGTCTTCTCCAGCCTCATCTTGACCCGTTTTCTTCTTCAATCTCACCTTGACCAACCAACCTGCTCCATCATCGTCTTGACCCGTCATCTTCATCATCATCTTGACCCATCGTCTTCTTCATCGTCATCTTGGTCCATCATCATCTTGACCCTTCATCATCTTCGTTTTCACCCATTGTCTTCTTCATCCTCACTTTGACCAACCAACCTTCTCCATCATGACCCATCGTCTTCGTCTTCACCTTGACCCATCGTCTTCCTCACCTTGACCCATCGTCTTCTTCACTTTGACCCATCATCTTCCACATCTTGACCCGTCGTCTTCCTCATCTTGACCCATCGTCTTCCTCACCTTGATCCATCGTCTTCTCCGTCTTGACCCACCGACCTTCATCTTCACCTTGACCCCCAAACCTTCTCATCATCATCATCTTGACCCATCGTCATCTTCTTGACCCGTCACCTTCTCCTTCGTCTTCTCCATCATCATCTTGACTCATCGTCATCTTCTTGACCTTTTCCATCGTCTTCTCCTTGACCCATTTTCTCCACCTTGACCCCTCCCTGACCTCCTCCACCATCTTCTTGACCCCCGTTGTCTTCTTCTCTTCCTCGTTGAGGTCCTCCAGAACCGTTTTCGAGCCATTTGAGGTGGTCTAGAAGGGTTTGAGGGTCTCCAGAAGCTCTTGGAGATGGTTTGAGAGTCTTCAGAAGCTCTTTGAGGTTCTTCAACCCAACTTTGAGGTTCCTCAGAAG